AAAGATGATTCCGGAAGAAGCATCTGAATAAATGAAAGAGGAAGGCGGGAAGCCTAGCTATAGGTCAGCAGCCTGTCATGGGAGAAGAAGGTATCAGATACCATTTGTTGGTTTTCTTGCCTGTTTTGTACTTCTTTGTTTAGATAAAAGGGACACTGTACTCTGGGCTGGCCTGAGACTCACCACACAACCGAAACTTGTGGCCGTTTTCCTGATTCAGCCTCCCAAACGTCATACAGGTCACCGTGCTTGGCTCCATGCCACCGTTTTTATGTAGTGTATGAGTAGCATTTGCAGTAGGAAGAATAGTAGTCTCCTGAGATGCCCGCACCCTGATCCCTGGCCTACATCGCCTTGAAAAGAGGACTTTCCATGTGGGCAGGCCCTGGATCTCAGGATGGAGGAGGCTTAAATTAAAGCCAACAGGCACTGGAGTGCTTGGGACAGAGGGAAGATGGAATGATGGGAACAAGGAGCCAACGAGCTGGATGGTGGGGAGGGATCGCAATGCAAGGAACGAGGTGTCTCCAACGGAAGGGAAAGAAGCGATTTGCCCCTGAGGCTTCAGAAGCACAAGGTCCCGCTGACCCTGGACTCAGCAGTGTCACTGTGTGCACATGACCCCAATGACCCCTGGACTCAGTGGTGTCACTGTGTGCACATGACCCTGCTGACCCTGGACTCAGCGGTGTCACTGTGTGCACACAGCCCCAATGACCCCTGGACTCAGCGGTGTCACTGTGTGCACACAGCCCCAATGACCCCTGGACTCAGTGGTGTCACTGTGTGCACACGGCCCCAATGACCCCTGGACTCAGCGGTGTCACTGTGTGCACACGGCCTAGCTGACCCTGGACTCTGCGGGTGTCACTGTGTGCACACGGCCTTGCGGACCCTGGACTCAGTGGGTGTCACTGTGTGCACACAGCTCTGCTTACCCCTGGACTCAGTGGGTGTCACTGTGTGCACATGGCCCCGATGACCCCTGGACTCAGTGGTGTCACTGTGTGCACACGGCCCCGATGACCCCTGGACTCAGTGGTGTCACTGTGTGCACACGGCCCTGCTGACCCTGGGCTCAGCGGTGTCACTGTGTGCACACGGCCCCAATGACCCCTGGACTCAGCGGTGTCACTGTGTGCACACGGCCCTGCTGACCCTGGACTCAGTGGTGTCACTGTGTGCACAAGGCCCCGATGACCCCTGGACTCAGCGGTGTCACTGTGTGCACACGGTCCTAGTGACCCCTGGACTCAGCGGGTGTCACTCACGCCACACTCTGACAGGCAGAACAGGAGGACAGTGTGTGCTGTCTGGAGCCCCTATATTGCGGCAACTTGTTTTCCTTTCTCCTTTTCTTCGACTTCCTCCTCAGTTCCCGCCCCCTCCCCTTTCCTTTTGTTTTCTGCTTTGCTTTGTTGAAATGGATTCTCATAGCTCAGGCTGGCCTCAGACTCACTGTGTTGCAAAGGCTGGCCTTGAATTCAGGATCCTCCTGGCTCTTCCTCTAGAGTAGCACTGTGTCCAGTCGCAGGAACTTTCTGAGTCTGCCTTTCCAGTCCTTACGGTTCTGGATGGAGACTGAGGGTTTTCATGAGAACTCTGAGTTATCCAGTCTTGGTACCAGACAGCACTTCAGGAAAGTGTGCCTGGAGGAAGAGCTAGAGACAGGAGGGTGCTCCTCCTTGTCCTGAGGTGGGTGCTCCTCCTCCTTGTCCTGAGGTGGGTGCTCCTCCT